AAACCTAAACTGTTTGCTAACTGAAAGGCTGTGATGACGGAGATCATCTGCGATTGCGGCTACACCAAGTACTGATAACATAAAAACTCAAACAAAATGTATATTTTTAATGTCTGCATGCAATATATTCTGAGTTATCTACTTTATTCTGGCCCGCGAATTAATAGGATACAATTTTAAACATGTTTTTGAACGCCGCAAATTAAAAGGACACATTTAAAAATTAGCGTTCAAAAATTAAATGGGTGCGCGAATTAATAGAGACTGCAAATTAATCAAGTTTTTACGGTAAGTGAGTTCTAAGGTTGTTTTTGCTAGAGTCCTCGTTTATCCATTTGCAAAGTTTGTAGTATGTATTTTTGAATTTGTGAAAATGACTCATTTCTTTTTGTGCAGTAAAACCTGTCCATGTTTCCACAGCATTCTACGTTGCTATTTTTGTGCATACATTATGTGATCTTCATCGCAAATCACCGTACGTAACCTTATCTGATAAAGCCTTGATATAAACAAACTACTGTAAAACATATTGAAATAGCTACATGCTATTTTAGCATATTTTGCTCGATACAAGAATTAACAGAATCTTAATTTAGCTAAAGTACCAACAATCTCATTGTGTTAATTGACTTTATTTTAAATTAGTTGCATTAGCGAATTAGCGAAATTACAGATTAGCTAAATTAGCTAAAATAACATGTTAGCGAAAAAGACGTGTTTTACAGTACATAATCACATTGCTTACTTCTTCAATTCTAAACACATTTCACAATAACATATTGTGACACTGCCGTAACAGACTATCATTACCAAACAGTGAAGTATGAAACTTTTTCACCCAATAAAACGTGTCCCTGTTACCTGAATGTTTTGTTTTACATACTTTTAGTGATCTAATGTATATTGCGAGCCTATTATGCGAGATTCCCCAGTACTTACTATCTGTGGTGTTCAGCGGATAAGCTGAGTCTAACCTCCTCAACAGATCATCCAATTCGGCTTCCTCTGATGGAAACATCTTTGATGCATTGACTTCTGGGTAATGTACTGTGCTTTGATTGACAAGATGTGGAGGGTAGAGTCGACTGTCAATGGTATCGTAAGCCTGCGTTGATTGCCTTGATTGGCCGGCTGGTGATTGGTATGTATGCAAAAACGCTGGTGCCGATATGTCCAATGGTCTTCGTGACGTCGGTTTCAATCTTCGATGTGAATCAGGACGTATTCCTGGTGATGGTGGTGACAGAGACGTCTGCGCCAACAACCGGGGCTCCTGTGGGTGAATTAAGTTAAGTAGAGGGGTCAAAGGTTAAGGGTTATTCAGTGCCCTTTAGGTGAACATTTCAGTCACTGTGGGAAACTTTTATATACAAGAACTTAATTTTCTAAATAATTAAAATCCTGTGAATGAGCTTGGCCAATTAAATTTTTATTTTGAATGTAAATTGGCCGAACAAATTCTTGTTTTGAACAACCCACTCTGTTATCAAATAATTTTAATTTATCAATCCGTACATGTATACCGTAACAGGGTTGACTCTTACTCTAGGAAAGGAGATGACCATTTTCAAGCGGACAGAAAGTGATCCCGATTGCCTTGGCCGTGTGCACTTGAACTTGTCTTTCAAAGTAAAAGCAATGTCCAATACTGTAAAATACTTTCGCTATTTTCGATGAAGGAATGATTCAGTTGAAATAAAATATAGCGAATGTACTTTTTTTTCAATATTTTACATTCAACTCGTCAAAAATCTGTGAAAATTAATTCCAGCTAAAGTAAAGTATTTTACAGTAACAAGAATCAAAGAATTCTAGGTAAATTCTTGTCCTTACCCGACTGAGTAATAATCTTAGTCTTCTGAGCTGTAAATCTAACTGTTTATTATGTTCTTCTAATATTTCCTGTTTTGCTTTCAGTTCATCGTGTTGTTCCATCCAATGCTCAGCTGTCATTCTGCTGACATCACTTTCTGATGCATCTTTGTTCCGCAACCTTTCCACTTCAATAACCAACCTCCTATGATAGTGTAAAATTTAAAAAATGAGACGTTGATTCCGTGTGAGATAGAGTGAAGTTAAGTTGTGTCATATTTTACAAAATTAACATGCAAAGTAGTTTCCCTATTTTTTTCAAATTTTGATGACAGCGAGCGCAAGATATTTACATACACCTAACTCGCGCACTCGGTAGGTAATTACCGAGGGACTTTGCAACATCCCCAGACACTTTGCTAGACGCCCCAACGACCGTTGTAGACGCAATAAAGTTACATACACTCTCACGTGACAGTTAATCAAAACACCGGACACGGTATGCTTTTCATGTGTGGGCACAAGGAAAGAGGGGTAGTTGGGATATTCCATTGCTTTGTAGGTATAACAATCTGTGTAACACTTGACATTTAATCAAAACCAGGGTTAGCGCCCAGTCAAACATTTATCAAACAATGTTTTATTCATTGTTGTTGTCAGACACTTTATTATGTCATGCATAGTTATGCTCGTTCATTTAATAAATAAATTATATTTTGAACGTTTCATTAATATAATTTGTTAATACAAATATGTAATACAACACCCCTAACATATAATGGAATTACCCTCGCGAGAACAGTTTAGTTTTGAGTGTGGTTTCTGGATTCATGTTTGAATTGCTCGCTGACTATAACATTATTGCTATTATGCCAAAGCGTGTAGACGAAGACACTCAGAAGGAGATTATTCGTCTTTTCTTTGATGGAAATAGTTTGCGAATGATCGCCAAAGAAGTTGGACAAGTGAGGGCAACGGTCCAAGGGATTGTGAGGCATTTCCGTCGTACCGTTTGGATACGTTCCGACAAGAGTAGCGGCCGTCGTCGACTGAAATCTACACAGGAAATCGTTGAGTTTATGGAATTTCGTCTCTTACAGAAACCATCCCTAACGGCAAAGAAAATACGCATGTCTCTCTTGAGGGAAAATATTTGCGTACAGGAAAATTTGCCTTCGGTGCGTACGGTACATCATATAATGAAAAGTGATTTGAATTATTCATTCAAAAAAATGAGTCAAACTCCTACTGAACAAGTTACTGAAAGAAATATGAAACGAATATTACAATATATAGACACTGTTTCTCAGCTTGATCCACAAACTTTGCACTTTTTCGACGAAACAGGTGTGAAGACAACGACGGCAAATCACAATTAGGGTCACAGTTTACGCCATCAAAGAGCTGTCGAGTTTCAACGCTATGCTTCTGACATCAATTTTACAGTGAACCTCTTACACAACGCCCGAGGTGTAAGTAACTTCAACATTTTAGACGGTCCTTCCAATGGACTCGAAATGCTTAATTTTTTTGAAGAGACCATGGAGTTATTCGACAAGAATGGGCAACATTTATTGTCACCAGGCGATACAGTAATAATGGATAATTGTGGTTTTCACCATGGCCGAATAACTGAGTCAGCGCTTCGTGAAATGTTGGCAACAAGAAATGTTACGCTACTTTTTCAACCACCATACATACTCACCTGAATTTAATTCATGTGAAATGTGTTTTTGTCAAGTGAAGAGAAAATGATATGTTTGCCGTGTTATTTACCGAGACTGCTATTATTGACGGACTTGCATCAATAACGCCCTTGATGTGGAATTGCCATAGACTAGATAACAATAAAAAATATACAAAATTTTTGCTGGTGGAGATTTATCACAAAACTTACTGGAAAGTGTAAATTGATAAATAAACATGTTTTTTCTTCAAAAATGTTGTCGATCTTTGATTATTTTTTTGTATGGGGTAGGTCTGCCACTAAAATTAACTGTTACAAGGTTAGGGTTGACCAATAGAAACACTGGATGGAGACATAAAACCGTTGACATTATTTGAATTCTTTACTTAGTTTGAGGTTAGATTATTGTTGATTATTTTGTTTTTAAAACAATTCGTTCCCCCGGAGTTTCAAATAATGATCAATCTTTTAAAATTAAAGTGTGTTTTACTGTCTGTGCGGCTTATTCAATCATAATATCACCCAGTTTTTGCACAATACGTATTTTTTGTTGTTCTTCGCCTAGATACACCTACAAAGCAATGGAATATTCCAACTACCCCTGGACCTGGACTGGGTCTTAAAAACAGACCAGATTTAATCCACACTTAGCGTTTCTTAACATTTTCCTCTTAGCCTGTAATAAAGAGCTGTGTGTAAACACCAATAATATTTCTGGATTTGTTACCATAGCAACTAATTTTATCATATTTAATGGTGATCACAATAACCAATGAAAGGTGTTCTGTGGATAAAACATAGAACGAGATTGCAACTCTTAATATATTTACCGATTTTCTCTTTCAAGCTCTTCTATAAGATCTTTAAGTTCTCTGACTTCTTTCACTGATGCAATGGACGTCTTACTGGAATACTGACTGTGATGTCTGACGTAATCCGTCATTAAACTTGCATCAGTTTGTTGTGGCTTATCTACTTTGACTGGAGCAGAAGTCTCTTCTACCTCTGCCAGTCTACAGTAATTAGTATTCAAGTACAAATATTAAAGCAATATAGAGAATTTATAGATGCATCTAACGCAACCATGTTAGACCACATGTGCATCAGAAACCGTATACATGTACTTGTGATTTTGTGAGAGAATTTTTGGCGGGGGAGGGGGGGGGGTCAAACATGGCCGCCAATATTTCGACAATAACATCCTTAGAGATGTGCTTCTAAGCAAGAAAATTGCATAAACACAAACAAATTAAATCTAAACAAACAAGTTTTGAGAATATTCAAGATTCATATTGCATGTGTTGATTACCTAAAACACCACTGTCCTTGATGGGTCCCATTGTGGGTCTGTGTAACTTATACACATGTAAAATACAGTTTGTTTACATGAAATTCACACATGTGCCACACTGCGTTTCATGAACATCACAGAGACCATACAATAAAACTACTTGAAGACAAGTAACACGAAAATATCGTAAATAATGAGTAGACATAAACATATTGTGTACGAATAGATTTGCTTACTGTACCTTTTCGACAGCTTTCCGATCTTGGAATGCATTTCTGAATCTGAACGGTTCAAATCCCTGTAAATAAGGGCAGACATATTCAGTGTATGCAAATTAGGTGTAAATAGTCTCAGCATGTTTATACAGTCCAATTTAAATGTTACGAGACGATTAATGAGTAAACTTGTAAATTACACATCGCAAGAGATAACAACCATTATCAAGGTATTTTCTTTTTCACACTCCACCCTAGCAACACCACCCTAGCAACACTGACATTTTTAGGAGGCATTCATCGACAATAAATAACTTTTACGATCTGGGACAGGACACCACAAACAGAAAAGGCATTTAAATGTTTAATGAAGAACTGTGAATTGCTTTATTTTGTGAGAGACAAAAGTTCGTGAACTTCGCAAGTCAAAGAAAATTTTGAAATATTGAAGCAGTGAAGATTTCACTGACATTTTTAAGATTGTAACAGTGATTTTCACTGGGGTCCTAGGGAGTCATAATGACTTTTACTAGGGTCCTAGGAAATCACAATGACTTTTAGTAGGGTCCTCATAGATATGCCCAAATCATGGAATTATAATATTTCTAGCGAAGTTTACAGTTATTTATCACTTACGTTTCATATGAACTGTCGTAATCGCTGGTTGGTGGAATTGGCAAGTAATTAAGCTTAAATCGTCTTCTATGTTTTTTACTGAATCTATTTCTAACAGTTCTGGCAAATGCTTTGGCGTCATCTTTAGTTGAAGCCTGTAGTACAAGAGAGAAAATAAACACAGACAACTGGTGTTTAATAAACAGTGAACTGGTATGTAATGCATATTGCTACAAAGTTCTTTGAGGTCAATACTAGATGATAGAATAAGCATCTCAAAGCGACATGTTTTTAAAAATTAAATATTGTAATTACTCTAATAGAAATGCACATTAACCAACTGCATTTATTGAATGCTAGATCATTCAACTATGACATATTTTGACTATAGACACACCTGTCATTTACGCCATTACTAATAGTAAAATATGGTACATTTTTCCAAATACAAGTTTGTTTTGTAGCTAAACAAAGTTATCTTCAAAAAATAAAAAATAGTATTATGAATAACTGTGAATTGCCAAAAAGTTCAAAACCATACTGTAAAAACATTAAACTTTCGCTGGCATATAATTTCACTGTTTTTAGTATTTTCACTTGTTCTAGGTTTACAAATTTGGCAGCGAAACAATATTCTATTGTTATTTTACATGTTCATGTGTATTATTAAATTCAGCAGATTTCACTTATAAGCGAAAATAGCGAAATGAAACTTGGTGAATAAGTAATGCTCTTACAGTAGCAACAAAAAAACAGATAGAAATAAAAGCCATACTCACAGCGACTACGAATTCTTGCACAGGATGACTGTGCTTGTGATTTTTACTGGAGCGATTAGTGAAGAAACATTCTTGGCAAAGATCAAAGTTGAAACATTTCAAACATTTGTAGCGGAAACCAACAACGGGAAATGCTTTACAAATATTGCACTTAACTTCGTGTTTCACTGCAATTAATGAAATGATGAGTAAACATGTCAACTTTTGATTCACTGTTATTAAATGAAAGACGGCATGTTAATATTATTACGTCATTCACTACAGATTAGTGCACAGCCTGCACAAATGCTAATCTACTAACTCTTCAGCAAAGATCACAACATTTTATACACAGGCAAAGTACGGGTTCATGGATATGTACCAGTAGAAAATAAGTCAAATAAAACAGAGCAAAATGTGAAATTCATTGTCTATCTGTGCTTGGGTATCGAGCAAAGCTCAAACATAATAAAATTCTTATTTTAATTGTGATAGAAAACTAAAATTCAAATACACCCAAACTATAACATTTTACATTGAAATACTCAATCAAAATTGTTAATGAAGGTATGTACTTTGCATTAAGTGTATTCTAAATTCTAGAATTTCAAGTTGAAGGGTGGATGGAAGACGATTTTAAACGGGATTTGCCACTTGTCATATTGGCGATTGGAAGTATAAACACCCATAATGCACTGCTTCATTTTACATTTTGCTATTTTATTTTCATGGTTGTTTGTAACATCGGGTTTTATATTTGATACTGCATTTCCTGTATAGAATGGTTCTCATTTATTCCTGTGTATTTGACCTAGGTCAAACTTAAATCGAGGCTGATGGGTACTCTTTTTAACTATAAAATTTACATAAAGTATGCATACAAAACAAGAAACAGGATATTGTCATGGTAATGACGGTATGCTAAATAAATCTTACTTGTCTCAGCCGTTGATAAGCGATGCATTGTGGGTAACCAAACCAATGTCTCCGGTTCAGCCATTAACCATTTCATAAAACTCTCTTGCATTAAAACTGATCCCATGCACTGAGAAGAAACATTAAAAAGAGAAAATATTCCTAACATGGCTTGATTATACTCTGGCAGTGCATAATTTCAAAGAGTGCAGTTGTACATACATGTATGTGGCAATTAATTTATTTATTAGGCCTAATGCATGACCCCTATAGGTCACACATATCCTGGTACTTTTGGGGGTATTGTATAACAGTAATAAATTCCACTTAAATCATACTTCAAATTTTTGTTGTGCTAAATGGTTTTTGCACAATGATGAGGGTTATTTTTTTTTAATTTTAAATGTTTTTTAAGTGAGTTCATAGTCGTGCATCAGAATGGGCAACATTTTTTGGTAATTCAAATGGACTATTAATGTACATTGTACAGTGGTATTTTTGTATGAATGTAAATAATATTTATTTGTGAGCAAATTTTATTATTATAATAGTATACTATATTCACAGTAGTAAAGCCAAATATGATCAATAATGTGTCAAAAAAGAGGGTAGGTACGGTAGGTATACTTTTTATATCAAATCTTGCAATTGTTTTTCAACAAGATGCTACAGGCATGTTTGTCCATATGGTTACACAGGATCATTTAGTAACGAAAATTTTCATAAAACATTGTGATGCATATGTATGGAGTTGACATATTTGTGCCAATAATTTTCCCAGCATGCAGCAAGAAACAGGAAGTGAACACACTTTCCAGTTTAGCCTCAGAAAGAGTCAGTATAAATTCTACAATTTTGTCGTATTATTTATCTAAATGAGCCCACTTACCGATTCAAATGCGCTTGTAACTGACGAGTTAACGTTGTATCCACCGAACACTGACACTTCGTAGATTGCATCTACAACCTGCAAAACAGAAACACATTTGTCAGAGATGAGATATAACAAAACAATTTCGGAATATCTGAATCAACTACTGTTTGCATCACGTTATCAGAGTTAGTTATTTCCCCACGAGACTTCTCTGCTGACAGTACTAGTATGTATTACAATACAATCAGAGATGCATAGCTAGAGGAATATGGATGTAAAGCTTGCATAGTTGTTGGAATGCAACAAGACTAAAGATATAAAGCTATAATTGTATAAAGTTTTCATAAATGAATTCAGATATTTGATAGGTCTGAAACCATTTGAGAGACAAAATTGAAAGTGGGTTGGGTAATCTACTGTTTGCATCACGTTATCAGAGTTAGTTATTTCCCCACGAGACTTCTCTGCTGACAGTACTAGCATGTATTACAATACAATCAGAGATGCATAGCTAGAGGAATATGGATGTAAAGCTTGTATAGTTGTTGGAATGCAACAAGACTAAAGATACAAGTATAAAGCTATAATTGTATAAAGTTTTCATAAATGAATTCAGATATTTGATAGGTCTGAAACCATTTGAGAGACAAAATTGAAAGTGGGTTGGGTAATCCGTATTATAGAAGTTATCCCAGGGTCTTGATGACCTTTACAATACAAGCCCCGACACCAGATGAACGCAATCACAAGGCAGCAATATTAGGGTTTGCATTACCCTGGAATCGAGGCATGCCCCAAGGTCTGAGGACTATAAAACTTCTCTGGCATCAGTCGGCTATTGCCTGGAAATTTTATTTGAGGATTGAAAATTATGCAAACGTAAACATCGTCAATCATCTGGAGATCAATTTTGAGTGCAGCAACTGAATTCGTCGATTAAAAGTGGTTTCAGACCTCACACATATATTCCAAGCAAATTGTAGATGTCTCAGAGTATGGAATGCACATACATGTATATTCTGAGCGAATTGCAGACCTTTGAGCAGACAAAGATTCTTGGTGTATTTCAGACATCTCAGAACTTTGAGAAGGCAAAGATTGTAGGTATATTTTAAAGATCTCAAACCTTGGAACATGCAAAGATTCTAGGTGTATTTTAGAGGTCTCAAACCTTGGAACATGCAAAGGATGCATGATGTAGGTATGCCAACCATAGAATACATATTTACAGTTCAGACACTATTTAAAGAATAAAATAGAATATTTTTCATTTTTACTTACAGCCATCATATCTTGCATGAAAGCAGTCATAGATTTTTTTCCAATTGTTCCATTTAAATCACAAAGCTGCTCGCATAGATCTAATGAATAAAAAAAAAGCTTTGATGAATATACAACAAATGTAATTTTTATTTTAAATGTGCATTCTGATTTTAATTTGTGTTTCTGGTCATCACGCATTTCAATTAAAAGAGGGAGCATCATTTTTTATATAGGGTTTTTGTCAGAAAAGGGAAACAGAAAATTCAATCTAAAATAAAGTTAAATAAGATTTTCTGGTTATATAAATCAGAAATATTGATACTCACATAGGTATTTATCTGTGATTGTTGCTGCACTCATTACTACTAGACCAATCTTAACAGAGAGTACTCGAATGCAACCAGTTCTACCTCTGCAAACAAACAAACAAACAACAATCATGTAAATGATGTAAGATTTAGAATATTCAAATTTCAAATAATTATTTATTCAGTCCAACTACTCAAATCAATGGTTGTACATTTATTGTAAATTGTAAAGCTACAGACTGGCCGCCATTTCACAACTTTGACAAAATTGAGACAAAATTAAGTCATGACTTCGAAGAAGAGCTGACCAACATGCACGATAGTATGTTATCATATACCTCGTATTGCCCGGCCTCGTAACACTATGGGAATCCCGATGCACGAGCAGTGCAATAATTTTCCATATCACGCCCGGGCCCCATTTACCATATTTGGTAAACGCGTCTATTTCCTGGAACTACTTTCTGTTTATAAACAACGCGCATAATTTGCGTCTGTGCTTCGATAATGGCTGACGATATTATTATGTGGATGGAAAATATACCGAAAACACCAGTTGGACTCATTATTACCCTGACGAAAGCCGACATTCCACCACAACCAATCATAAATATAACTAGTCACAAAAACGTGTCAAGTTTACAGCACTACGATACTCACATTCAGCTGGCATCGGTGTCGCAGGATACACCCAGTGACACCGATGCCAGCTGACCGTCTGACGATACTGTCTCTCAACGGAAGATCGTCGGCGCATTTCAGCTATTGTTGGTTACGCCAGAATCTGGAACTGTAAACCAAACTGCTTCTTGTCAAGCAATTGTTTCTCGTTCACCGACTACGGTTTTCAACAACTGTGAAATTAACGTGTCTTTACCAGTCTTTACCTGTGGCTACAACATCAGCTCTAAGAAATCGTCCGTTGTCGGACGGTCAGTAAACGACCAACTTAGCTGGACTGTAGTGTCCATTCTTATGAAAGCAAGTTTATAATGAGTTCGTATTTATTACCGTTAAAATATTGTTATAAATTTATGTTCATTTGCTGTTTCATTAAAACGTAATTTGTGGATATATTTGGTGACATTCGTTTGTCTATAGATCCCTGTCACTGACGTCATGCGGTACCGGTCTATTGTGTGAGAGACGTTTGCGTCATTTAGAATCCTCCGTATAAATCCGCACCAGTAAAAAAGGCCCGTATCGAAACCCGGGTGAAATCGAATAGATTTTCTTTTTGGCCAGACGAGCGAAAAATAACATTACTAAAGACTTTTTTTTCATATAAGGTATATGATAAAACCTTTATGGACTAGATACGGCTTTTGCTGCCCTCGATCGTATGGCCTCGCGCCGCAAAAGCCGTATCCAGTCCATAAAGAATAATGTTGCACACCCTTTTGTTAGCTTCTAGTTTTAAATCGCATTCTCTGATTGGTGTAGTCCCACAATGGGATGCTGGCAGTGCAGACCACATAAAACGACCAGACATGATAAACTATGCTTAGAACACATTATGTGACGGAAAAAGCCCATGCTGTTACATTGAGTATGTTATACAGACCACCTTCCTCAATGCAACAGCTGTGGCTGGCTTAGTTGCATAAAATTCTTTTCTTTTACTGGAAGTTGATGTTTTTGAGTCAATCATCCCATGAGGATAGTCTTCCAAAGCCAAGATTGACCGTGTATTTGTTTGGATCTTATTTACTCAAAATGATTGCAATTAGCAAATTCAAATAAGTGGGAGACCCTAATTGTAGTCTGGGTACTACATTGTACCCTAGTCTGTGTACTACGTTGTACCCTAGTCTGAGTACTACGTTGCACCATAGTCTGGATACTACATTGCACCATAATATGGGTACTACATTGTACCATAGTCTGGGTACTACATTGCACCATAATATATACCATAGTCTGGGTACTACATTGCACCATAATATATACCATAGTCTGGGTACTACATTGTACCCTAGTCTGGGTACTACATTGCACCATATTCTGGGTACTACATTGCACCATAGTTCAGGTACTACATTGCACTGTAGTCAGGGTACTACATTGCACCATAGTCAGGGTACTACATTGCACCATAGTCCGGTACTACATTGTACCATAGTCTGGGTACTGCATTGTACCATAGTCCGGGTACTGCATTCTACCATAGTCCAGGTACTACATTGTACCCTAGTCTGGGTACTACATTGCACCATATTCTGGGTACTACATTGCACCATAGTTCAGGTACTACATTGCACCGTAGTCCGGGTACTACATTGCACCATAGTCCGGGTACTACATTGCACCATAATAAGGGTACTACATTGCACCATAGTCTGGGTACTACATTGCACCATAGTTTGGGTACTGCATTGTACCATAGTCTGGGTACTACATTGCACCATAATATATACCATAGTCTGGGTACTACATTGTACCATAATAAGGGTACTACATTGCACCATAGTCTGGGTACTACATTGCACCATAGTCTGGGTACTACATTGCACCATAGTCTGGGTACTACATTGTACCATGGTCTGGGTGCTACATTGTACTGTAGTCTGAGTACCAAAATGCACCACAGTCTGGGGTAATGCATTGTACCATAGTCCAGGTACTACATTGTACCATAGTCCGGGTACTACATTAAACCATAGTCAGGGTACTACATTATACCATAGTCTGGGTACTACATTGTACCATAGTCTGGGTACTGCATTGTACCATAGTCTGGGTACTTTATTGCACCATAGTCTGGGTACTGCATTGTACCGTAGTCTGAGTTCCAAAATGCACCACAGTCTGGGGTACTGTATTGTACCATAGTATGGATACTAAATTGTACCATAGTCTGGGTACTACATTGTACCGTAGTCGGGGTACTACATTGTACCATAGTCTGGGTACTACATTGCACCATAGTCTGGGTACTGCATTGTACCGTAGTCTGCGTACTACATTGCACCATAGTCTGGGTACTGCATTGTACCGTAGTCTGCGTACTACATTGTACCATAGTCTGGGTACTGCATTGTACCATAGTCTGGGTACTACATTGTACCGTAGCAGTACCAATTGTGACAGAGATATGAATTTTCAATGTGTATAATATTCTTGGGATTTATAATAGAATTGACTTCTCAAAAATGCTTGCATAATTTTCTTTATACAAACCACGTCATACAATTGACAACAGGGATAATACAAATACCTTCCTTGATAACATAAAAACTCCTTTCCTTAGAAACCACCTCTGCCCAAACTGACCCGAGGGTTTCTTTTCAGTAATTGATTAATTACCACAAAAAGACAAGAAGTTAAAATACTCACATATCGTAAAGATTAAGTATCCAATTAAGAAGAAGATCAGAATGTAATGGGACATCGATCAACTTTGGCATCATCTGTTTCGTCATGTAGTAAATATCAGTGATAATACCGAGCAAATCCATAATGTCCATGACTGAATCGTTGCGATCACGGAAACCGTGCTGTTCAAAGACGCTACGAATCGTTGACATGGCAACAACATGGACTGGAAAAATACAATAAAAGGTGATGAAAATCTAATCATGATGAAAGTTTGAAGAAAAATAATTATATACTTTAAAATACTTTATTTTTGCTATTTTCACTGAAGGAATGATTCAGTGAAAATAAAATCCAGCGAATAAATCTTTTTTTCTATATTTTACATTCAACATGTCAAAAATCAGTGATAATAAATTCCGTACAAAATTAATTCCAGCTAAAATAAAGTATTTTACAGTAGTTTATCATTATATTTGTTGGAATTAAATTAAAAATGCTGTGAAAATTTTGACACAAATTCCATCATCATCATTATCCAAATATCCAAAAGAAACACTGGATTGTATTGGATCACTCCATTAGTATTGCATAGACAGACTTATTAAGATGACAGAGGTGTGGTCATGAAAAGCCATACAATAAATGCATAAAACAAAATTTGGTTTATGTGCACTTCTACTGAAAATGCATTTTTAATAGAGCAAATCCGGTATATAATCTACCGTACTTCCCTGAGTATAAGCCCAGGGGAGTGAACATGTAAAATCAGGAAAATTAGGGGGTGGGCTTATACTCGAGGACCACCTCAGAAAAGATAATTTTTGAAAGGGGTTTAAAATTGTAATCCTCTTCCAAACCTCGAAAAATCATCGAAATTACATTTTTCGTTCACAGCGCCGGTCTCGGAGAAATATTACCATTTTTTCATTTCCACAACACTTTTTACAATGAAGAAACAAATATGTTCATAAAAATACACACATTTTATTACAATTCGGTTTACATATCGTCTGAATTTACGGTGCAAAAATGGGTAGGGTCTGTAGGAAAACTGTCGAAGGCAGGATCTTTATCATTATCTTTGTAGTGGAATGTTTTTGATCACTCGCAAACTCTCGATACAAAGCAATTTCCGCCATGGTGTTTTTCATCATGATTTGACCTGAACAACTTCCTTTGACCTAACAGGTCATGTCTTTCGTTAACCATGCACAATTAATGCGAGTTTTCTTGTAAAAAGCAGAAACCAAACTACCGTACCAATCATGATTATTATGCAATGAAATACACTTTTAAGTGCATATTTTAATAAATGTCGTCGACGCCCAGTAAAAAAACCCTGGGCCTATACTCGGGATGCCCTCAACTTGTTAAATGTCTAAAAACAGAGGGTGGGCTTATACTCAGGGAGGGGCTTATACCCGGGGAAGTACGGTAATACAGGAACACAAATGTGAGCTTTCAATGCGCTAGTTGTTCAATATAACCCAAAGCTTGATTTAAGGTAGAGATGCAGTTTACCTGACATGTATTTTAATTAGTTAATTAGGAAACCAAGATGACCTCCCTTGTCTACAAAACTATATATTTTCGGAAAGCTTATTGTATGAATTTTAAAATTTTGTTAGTATTTTTCTTTTATGGACACTGTAGTTTGAAATAAGCACAAAAATTAGCTTCTAAACCATGCTTCTGTTTCCTGTCAAAATTGATTTATGGGTACATCTGTTTACTATGAAGGAAACGCCATCTTGAAAACTGTCTACCAGTTGTCAATTTTGCAGGGCAGCAGCCTAAATTTCACTACTTCAAGTTTATGCATGAATTAACACCCAGGCTAGTTGTCTGTACGATTGTTGTAACACTGTTCAACCAAAAACAATGCCCCGATGGCGTTTTGAAGATGAACATGTTACCAATATTTACGAGAGTTTAGATTCCAAATAAATTTATCTCAGGGTAGGGAACGAGGGGAT